AAGAAATAAACACACACACATACGTTTCATAAATATGTACACACTTTTCATTCACACGATGTTACCAGTTTTACTAGTTCGTCAAGTTTTCTCGTACAACTCTGCATCATTATACTTTTACATTTATAACACAGTTTCACTTGATAGAAAACGAAAAGAAATTCCATTTATTTCCTTCGTCTTCCTAAAAAAAAAAAAAAACGAAACAAAATAACATATCGTTTAAGCGAAAGCAAACTGCGCGACACAATGGAATTAATTCGACGACTTATTCATGAATCAATTATCTCTATGCATGAATTCCCTTAAATTCCCTAATGCTTGCCTGTAATCGTTAATAATCGTTGCTACCAGGTGTAACACGACATTTACCAATTACTATCGTGCGAGTAAAAGCATTCGAATATGGAAATAGATCAACCAGGCATGATTATTTATTGTCCTCGTTAGTATTCTGTGCCATATGACGGTGAAAAGCGATGCTTTTCGCTAACTGGTTACTTCTCGTTAGAAAGTATCGCAATAATTAAGTACTCGTTTCTGGTAAATGTAATATAAATCGACGATTTCCTTGCATCTCGTGTATGGCAATTAGTATAAATAACTAATTATTAGATACGTGAAATTGCAATGTAACAGTCGATGGAATACAATTGGCTGATTTTTAATTTCATCGCGGATTACGATCAACTTGGGAAACTATAAATTATTTCATTACGCTAGATTGAATATGTGCAACAGAATCATTGTCAGTTCAGTTTTATCGTAAATAAGTAAGCACGTTGGATTTACGAGGGATAAGAAATGGTAACGAACATCGTTCGAAGTGATTAATTATTATTGTGAAATTCTAAAAACACGAAAGTGAAAAGAAAATGGAAACTGAGAGAAGTTTGTTGAATTTTTGGAAGACTGGATTTGCAATTGTAAATTATTCTATATTCGAAAAATTATCGTAAAGAATTGGATCTGTCGAAGGAAATTGTGCATAATTTCGAAAAGAAATATTTTTTTAATGCTTGCAAAATTACTGGAGAAAGTGTTATATGTGAATTAATGTTTAACGTAAAAAAATTATTTGAATTACGCCTAAAAATTGTATCTCCTGCCTTCGTAACCAAAGGATATAATTAAGTGGTCCGTTTCACGTGGCTCACCCTGTGTACGAAGCACATGCGTACATCGAACAATTTTCGAACGTAGAGAACGAAACACCGTGCGTATTCCACGGTTAGTCCCGATCTCGTGAAAGGTATTCTGTTCACGTTGATAGGTTCACTGCACCAAGATGCACGTTCCTCACTGTTGAGGAAGCGCAATCTAGTATCTGAAGCACGCGGATTTTTTTCCATACGAGAGTCCCGGTCCGGCCATTGAAAGTCACCGAAGCATTTAATATTGCAATAGGTCTAAAGGCTACTTGATAGCATCTCTAATTCAACGTTACGGCGAATTGGACGTACAAATGTAGCCGGCCGCGAATCTCGTGTGAAATTAATTACGCGTGAAGGGACTTTAGAGCTCGGTGGTTCTAAAGCTCATCTGACCATCGGCACATCGTTTACACGACCGCGTGTTAACACGCGTGTAGAATGAGGACCGGTCTCTCTCTCTCTCTCGTGGATACAAAGTGTACGATCGGTCCATGTGATTCGCGTTACCAGTCTAATTAGACGTTCCAACAGACGACACGCAGGCTGCCGAATCGCAGCTTTCGTCGGGTTCGTTCCACGGTGTTAGCTTCGTTTCACGTGTAATTTTACTGGGATTTTTTCGCGAAGAAATGTAATTCAAATCGTACAATATTTTTTTATGAATATAACGGGTGTTCTGATATTTATGAAAGGTAGTATGTACAGGGTGAATTAAACGTCAGGTACTATTTTAATGAAACACTATAGGCCCTTTAGGTTCATGACACTCATTTTTCAAAATATGCTAAATAAATTGAAAAAGATAAAAGTTGTCATGCAAAATGATAAAGAGAAAAAAAATAAAAGAAGTGTTTGGGTCATTCTCAAAGATTGGAGACTCATGGAATATGTAAATATTAATACTCGATTTTGGTATCGATAAGGATAACTATAGTTCGTTTTTAGAATAAATCTTCACAAATATTCAGAACTTTTAGAAAACTTATTTTTGAAATTATAATATATCTCTGAAGGGTTCTGGAAAAGTAGCTCGTAGAATCTGATGAACTCCCACTGTTTACTTATTTAATAAAATTATTTAAATATATTTTCTTTGCGGCATTTGATACAACAGAAGAATTGAGAGAAGAAATTTCGAATTTCTCAAGCCTACTGTTCAAAAAGACCCAGGATTCACCTTACCCAGATAAGGGTTAAAACGATCCGTCAAACAACTCGTTAAACATCTCTCCCTATACCACCACGTGGTCAACATTAAAGGGCCAATATAAACACGCTAGATTTACCGGCCGCGTAATAAGAATCGCAAGCTGTTATATTTGAATATTTATGACAAGCTGTATTTCACGTTGAATAGAAGCACCAACCACGTCCAATCACCGATAGTTCCCGCCGTTTCAAAGGGTTGATGTCTCTCCCCGCGCAGAACCGAGTACAATGCTCTCCTCTCGTGTATCGGTTGCTCGATAGTGCGATTCTAGATAACGCGATAGCCCTCTGGAATGGCTTGGCATTATGCAGCGATGCCAGAAGGTCGAAGATCACCCCGGTATCGTGTACGAAACCTCCATAGGCACAGGTTGGTGAAAGTCTTTTCGTGTTCCGATGCGTTGACACCGAACAGAATGAAAGGCACCTGTTAATTAAAACTTTTTATTCAAATGCTGTCCAGAAAACCGCACTTCCAACGTTAATCGCCGTTGAACGCTTAAATACACACAGACACAGACACAGAGAAGAGTGAACGTGTTGTCGCCGTGAAAATTGTCGGAAGATGAAAGTTTTCTTCGCCGCGGAACAGTAACCGCGCAACTTTTTAACGCTATTATGCAACTTCGTCGTTCAACGGTGTATTAACGCTTTTTGCAGTTACATTTTGCAAGAAACCTGCTGTATTCGTAGACAGATTGTTCACCTCGCCTACACTTGGGAAACGGAATATCTTACAGGTGTGTGGAAGTTGAACGATCAGTTTGTCGTGTGGGTATAGTTGATGGAAGAAATATAGCCAGGTTGTAAATTGGATGATTAAGTAGCGAGACTGATTGATGTAATGACGTACAGGGTCGACACGTTGTGTTTTACGTTTTTCACGTGGGAATGAATCGAAGCTGAGGTATAGTGTGGGTATTGTGATGGATCGTGAATAGGAAGCGATTTGTTAATTTATGGATGTACAAGTAACTTTCACGTTTTTCTCAACTTCGTGTGCCAAAAATGATCAATTTTTCTTTCTTGTTTTAAATTATTTGCTAGGTGTGCAGAAATAAGTTTCTAGATATTTATAATGCATTAATTAAAATAATTAAATAAAATTGCACTTCTCGAACAATTAATCTAATTAACGTAAGAATGTTTTCTCCTGGGTTTCGATTTCTAGGAGTTAGTAATGTCTGTACGAAATTTCATCCCGAATTTCATGGATACACACACACCTACATACCATAAAAATAAATTAAACAACACATTCAGAGAACAGAATGTTAATTAAAAATTAATTAATTAAATAAAAAATATTCGCTGAAACATTACACGTATAATATTCCTGGAATATCGTCAATTATTCGTAAATTATAAAATGAGAATTTATTTCCTGAACTACCATACTCATGACCTATTCGCAAATGACGAAATGAAAAGTCTATTTATCGAAGTGATCGCAGAACACTTTCCCTTATTCGACATTGGAAATTCCTTCCATCAAGTGTCTTATTAACCAGCTGCTTGAGTATCAAGAATTAATTATTTATCCAATGAATTATTAATGCGATCGAGCTGTGCCTATTACATATCGGACGCACTGCAATTGTCTCCTATTGTGTTCCCCTTTTACACCATGTTATAAAAGGAACATTAGTCATGGTAGATCTAGAAGGTGGTCGCTATGTCAAACGTGAGTCGAACCCAAGTCACGAGTTTCATGCTTTGTTGTCTTTAAATCAATTATTCTCGGGTAGTTGGGTGTCGAAGTACCATAATCATTTACCACAGCTTCTTGCTAGCAATTGTGTCACACGACTGTGAAAATCTCCATTATTTCCCTGAAACGTCACTTTGTATGAACTCATCGGTAGAGTCAGAATTTTGCATATTGCTTGCCTGTGTGATACATAGAGGAAAATGACGAATCTCACAGTCGATGACTGTTTGGAACGTTGCATACGCGGATGTATCATCGTCGAGAACTTGAACAGCCAATTAGAAAGGTATGCTAATGATAAGCTCGTACGTTTGCACTTGGTTCCTTGTAGAATCCTCCAAGGACCATTAATACAATTTGCATTAGTGGCGCATAGTAAGAACGTGTAACGGTGCTTACATTCGCGCATTGCAAAACTGTATATAGTTAAGTCGTTACAGTTGGTCGAAGAAATATAGCGAGGTAGTAAATTGAAAGATTAAATGGTCGTTTGTATGATTTAATTGTAAAGTTTGATACTTTTGTATTGTAATGAATATTTCTGAATGAAAAGGTTAGGAATGAAATTTGTACAGTTTCTTTATTTCATTTCTATATTCGTAGTGAAGAAGAAAGTTGCAACAGAGTTGACATCGATAGTGTGTATCAATACATAGAACCCTTATCCTCAGGCAGCAAGAAGTAGATCGTTACGTCCCCTTGAGCTGTTTTCACGATCTCCTGGTGTCTGATCAATAAAATCGCTGCCAGGCCGTACATTAATGTGGGTATACCTGATGAAAACGGATAAGGAATATAAGGAATGATCAGGTGAGACACTCGGGAGCCGAAGTGACTGCCTCCGTGAAATGGAATTGATTAAATTTGTTTTATTTGTGAAAAAGTGAGTATTAAGGATGTAGTTTGAGTAGAGGTGTGCGAGAACCCGAAATATCGGGATTTTTGAGAATGTCGGGAATGAAAATTCTGAGTACCCGTTTGCCGTTTCGAGATTCGCTTTAATGAAGACAACCGTGGTTTCAATTTTTCCACTATTTAGGCATGAAAATCGTGTTATAAAATTAATCTTCTTACTTAATTTTACTCATTTAATTCCGACACTTTCGGGAGTCTTGACGCTTTCGAGAATCCCGAAATTTTCGGGAATCTCGGATATTTTCGGTATCTGGAAATTTTTGGGAAACTGGAAAGTTTCGGGAATCTCGAAATTTTCGGGAATTTCGAAATTTTCACTTATTAATCCCGATACTTTCGGGAATCCCAACGCTTTCGAGAATCCCGTCTCTCCCGTGAATCCCGGACATCTTCGGGAATCTCAAAATTTTCTAGAATCTCGCAATTTTCGGGAAATTCGAAATTTTCACTTATTTAATCCCGATACTTTCGGGAATCCCGACACTTTCGAGAGTCTCTCCCGGGAATCCCGGACATTTTCAGGAATCTCGAAATTTTCCAAAATTTTCAGAAACTCTGCCCGTTCCGAAAAAAAAATTTCCATCCCAACCCGACCCGATATTTTCAGATTCCCACACTCCTCCACCTTCGACACTAAAATTGGGACAACATCAAAAAGTGGAGTCAATCATTTCGACTTCCCAGTGTCTCAATCATCAAAAGCAAGACACACCGTCGAAAATCCTCGTTATCTATCGACAGATCGAAAAGAAACCGTGAAACGAAAAGAAAGACAGTGCGCGATCGTAGAAGGACGACGACGGTGTGTATCGTTATGGCGTGTGGCTCTTTCCTTTTAGGAAGGAACGGTATGCGAGCGTATATACCAAGGTTCAGAAGCTTGATTGCCTTGAAAAATTTGTCCTCGCCGCTGAGGTTCTGTCGTGGCCTCTTGCTGCAGTGATATTTAATATATGGAAAGCAGCCAGTTCTAAGTACGTGGTAATTGCTGCTGCCTACCGGCCAATTGAAGTGGGACATTCCCCTTTGATCGTTCACGATGTCGGCGTACTTCACGAAGTACGACGTCCACGGTGGCTCGTTCGTTTGCAGCAGGTAGCTCGTTAAGACCTGTTTGTACCGCAATGACACCAAACTCACTTTGTATACCCTCTCTCTCTCTCTCTCATCTATCTGTCCAATGAATAGCCCTTTCGTCCATCGTTTACAGCTACGGACAGCATTATCGCTACCGTTGCACACCGTCGCTGACTCTAACTGACACGTGTGTACGCAGGATTCAATTGAAACGTCATTCGATATGAAAGTGTCGAATGTAACCAACGAGAAGGAGACGAACTATGATAATTAGACGAAAATTGCGCAGGTTGTCTTCCTGCCGCGTGAACTGACGGATTCCTACGATCTCAAGATCTTAACCGAAGACTCGGGAGAATTCTCACGGTTGTCGATTGTGATAATTCAATGGGAACGGAAATTCTTAGAAACGCTAATCAGTTTTGTGCAACGTTCAAACGTACGTGATTACTGTCTGAGCTGTGGATCGATCGACGCGAAAGACACTCGATATATATGCAAGTGAATCTTGCCTCTGATGCTAAAGGTTTGCTCTTCTTGGTGATAGCCTTCGTCCAGATAGCATATGGACGAACGAACAACGTTTTCAGGATCATTCGGTGAGATTTTTCTTTAGCTGGATTTCAAATTTTCATTATAGAAGTATCATTTTTTCCTCCGTTTACTTATACGTAGACGTCTCTGTTTGTCGGTGAAAGTGTGCCTGTAATTATAGGAATTTACTTCGGTTGCGACCCATCTGTCGGATGAACTCGATGATCTTACGAGAAAGTGTGCCTGCAGATAACGGGCACGTGCACCTGCGATCTAGAATTTCGATTCTAGATAATTGTGCCATATACATACGTACGTGACTGGGTGTTTGCAGCAGTGGAACTATCCTGCGGTGAACGGCGGAGAGACGGTGTAAACGGTAGGTTCGTTTCGTTCACGAGTTTCTCGTAGCACGTTGTATCCTACCTTTCTAAAATAAGCCCGCAGCGAGTGCCGCACAAAATGTCAAGGTTAACGAGGATCAATTTGATCGACTAACGAAAAATCGTCCCGAAGTAGGTTTCTACGGGGTGTCCTTTCTTTTAATGGGGCAATGAAGCTATGGGAACAATGTTTTTGCAGAAAGTATTTGGTACTACGGAGGATATAATGTGGTATAGAATTTCTTTTTCACGGGCGAAAATTTCAAGGTTAAATTTATTTTTTTAAACGGAACCTATGTTTTTGTATTGTTAATATTGTAGCATTTTTCGAGACGATTTGAACGAGGTGTCACATCGAGGCATTTCGTTTTATGGAAAGTCGTGAAATCGGGGAGAATTTGAATTAGTAGTCAAATAGGGTTTTTAATATTTTAGGTTAGGTTTCACTATTTTACGATTTTCCATCAAATTAAATGATTTTAATAATCTAGTGAATATTTAATTCCTTTAATTAATGGATTCGTACTTTTTTATTGCACTTCTTGCCAAAGAAAATTTTATAGCAAACATACTTTGCGATATAAAAAGATTGTTATCTTTGAAAATTACCATTTCTTTTATTTAAAAAGAACGATCTCTAATTGCCAGGCTAAAATTGGTACGCACCGCTCAAATTACATATTTGTTTTCATTCATTATGCCACGTTATTGGAGTAGAAAATGTATGTGAAATAACACAGCAGAAACGTACTGCTATATGCAAATTGCCAACTGATTTAAAAAAATTTACCCGGCAGTTAACGGGTTAAATTAACAGGAGTTGATAAGAATCAGCAATTTCTTACGTTTCTTTGAAATATCGCGGTCACACCGGCGGTTACGCAATGGTAGCGCTGTTACTTACGTTTCATCGCATGCGCAAGACACTGGAATCCCAAAGAAATGCACGTGACGCAATGTGTGAACCTCGTGTTTCCGACCTCACGATTCCAATTACTTTTAGTTAGAAATGCCTTCGTCTAAACGCGTTTCGTGCAGTTTGTAGCTCTTTGTGCACAGAGTACGCGCGATGATACACATTTCTCGAGCACAAAACAAATATACGTGGAACTGGTAGTGGTATTACTGGGTCAACTGGTTCAATTGATTCTAGCGCTACCGTCGGTTCTTTCGATACTCTATGGCGGTCTTTTTGAACGTACATTAGATGTATTATAATAAAATTGTTGTAACAGATGCATTATATGGGATGAATGGTTAAAATAATAAATAATATTTCAATTTACATTGTATTGGAATATCTGAGTTGATTAGTTTCATTTAAAAAATTATATGGATGATGCTCTAAGCCAGGAATAATTTTGTAAACATATTCGTTGCAATTGCAAAATGAAATAAATGCTAATAAACTACAAAATTAATTAAATTCTAATAATCTAAATTCTTCGTGAGTACTGCAAAATTAAAAAAAAAATTTATCATTTTGTTTCGATCTTCAGATCTATTTTAAATGAAATACTTTGATTGTTGAATCAAGTAATTCCGCTTTCTTGTTATCTCGGTATTAATTTTAATCACGTTTCACTTCCACTCGACACGTTTATTAAATATTCGAACAATTATTTGGTTTTCTATATACTTCTCTTTTATCTTTTGCACGTTTTCCTTTATGATATTAGGTTTTATTTTTATCGTATAGGTGCTAACTGTGATTTTCTTTCTACCGTCCATTACTCGATAAATGCTATCACCGCTGAACTTCCTAACAGTACGTGATTTTAGGTCACTGTATATGTCAATATAGCAGCTGATTAAGTCTGACGAAATAACAGTATTGATATCATATTTCCGGTGCTGAATGTGTAATTCAACATTGTTCTTAATTACTCGTTTATAACTGTGAACCTGAGTTATGTTCTTATCCAGCACACGAAATTGAGTAACAACGATGGCGCAACGTTTTTTTCATAAATAAATCTTCGCATACCTGTGCACGAAATTGATTTTTATAATTTACAATATTACGCTCTCGCTCGATTGGAAAAGATTGTAGGTACGATGAAGTGTAAAAATTTTATAACTCCGATACTAATCACGCAATTGTCGCTAGTACGATAAATTTTTAATTGCACAATGAAATTAGTTGGAAGAATTGAATTAGTACGTTTCGCATAAAGTAATTTAACGATTTGTCCTCTATTTCTTCATTTCCCTCAAGCATTCGTTATTCTACGTTTAAAAAATTAGGTAAACTTTTATAAAACAAGGTAAACCCCCTAAAATTATTCTGAAGGATATGTCCGCGGTTTACAGGGACACTTGTCCTGAAAAAACTATGACATACAAATCTTTTTACTTTTAAAAAATTAGGTAAACCCCCTAAAATTATTCTGAAGGAAATGTCAGCGGTTTACAGGGACACTTGTCCTGAAAAAACCGCCTTGTCCCGAAGACGGAGAAGCGAGCACCTTGAAGTCAGGCCCAGCGCGCTCGGTGGGGGTGACTCCGCCCCTTTGGGTCTTTCCCTGGGCCTGTTCGCGTAGGGGTGGACAGGGACCGGCAGGACGACGCGTACTCACTCTTCACGAGACCCTCGAAGCACACTTTTTGCGAACGACGCTCAGATAACGCGGATATAGACTTTAAATAACACATACTATTGTAAAAACGTAGATACGTTTAATTCATTTTACGCCCACCCTACTCCGAGTCGGAGTACTTTTTCTGACACAAATCTTTCTACTTTTAAAAAATTAGGTAAACCCCCCGAAATCATTCTGGAAGAAATGTCATCGGTTTACAAGTGATACAATCTTTTCAAACAAGACAGAAATTCGATCGAAGACGATCACCACTCCAGAACTGCCTGTCGGGGCCTTCCCCTTCGTTCCGCGAATTTTTCAACCTCCCTTGGTATCCTACTATAGAATTCGTTCAGTTGTACCACACCCAAGATCGTTTACACGTATAACGTATCGCGTCGGTTGGTACGGCGTGTTATAAGTTACCCCTGATTTTTCTCAACCATGGCTCAAGTTACGTTTATTTACATAACGACGAGCACGTTCGTTCTCCTGCATTAACGAACGATGCTGTTGGCCAGCCTGGTTAACTTCACCACCGTCCTATTATCTCAGCTACGGGAGAGACGACACGAGTTCTATCCTTAAGGATACGTAAAGAAGCATCGCTGTCATATTGGATTACATTGATGTGCTAATCCGGTATGGGAAACAGGAAACGCTTATTTTGCTGCAGGTACACCGGCCTGCGGTTACATCCACGACTAATCGACTTGGTCTTTAGAAAGTTAGACTTTTTAATTCAAAGGGTGTCGTGTCCTCAACACGAACCACGCGACCGATCACCCCCATCGTTGACTTGCATCGCTTCTATCTACCTGCCAATAAGGGTTCGCGAAAGAGGCCTTTTTCTAGAAAAGGCGTTGATTGGCCCTTTTCCCGCATTAGCAGCTGCAAAAAGATGTATAAAGGTAGCTTTCGCAAGCCCGAGACCAGAACATGTACGGAGAGAAGCAGAGCGTGTACGGAGTGTACATATTAAAAAAAACCGAACAACGTAGTTTAACCTGAAACTAAACAACCAATAGGGAAACATCCATCGTGATATCTTCCAACCGAGAAATAAGATCACGGTAATAAACAAAGGGATTCGTTTAATTCGTTAAATTAAATAGATTCTTGTAGTACATGTACCTGTTTGCATACGAAAGGAATATCGTGTAAAAATAGAAACACCTAAGTGCTGATTTGTGATTACTATAATTAGATGAAATCTCGGCAAAATTTAGTTTCGAGACAGTGGCAGACATGTAACATGTTTAACAGTCCTAATCAAATTTACAATCACCAAGTTCGTTCACAGCGAATATCTTCGAAATTTTGATAGGAAAAATTGGAACACCTGGTATGCATGCTTGCAGCTACATTTACTTATTTATCTTGCAGTACATTAATTTGGCGCACGTTTATACATGCCGTGGAATAATGGATACGTATAATGTAAAAGCAAGAATTAATTTATAATTGATGGCTTTTATGGGTAGCATAAATGTTCAATAATAACGCAGTATATCCATTTCGAACCAGATTTCAAATAAAATCATTACCTGTGAAATTAGACAGTCTACATGGTTCCATTAAAACATTCTTCCTTCCGTTAAAACAATGTTTATCAATCCACACATTTATCGAAAAAAAGTTCAGCTAGTTTTCCGAGAATTTCGAACGCATTAAACGTATTAAACTTTCCCCCGTCAGCTTCTTGCCGTCGGTAATTACATTTAAGGATTTATTTTCGCCAAGGATCGCTGTTCGTTCAAGGATTTCGCCGAAATATGATCCCGCCCGCGCGGCTTATGTTTCTGGAACATTCTATTCGCGCGTATTTACGCCCATCTCGATGGATATATACTTATGCAATATGCGACCCTCTCGCGCGCGCGCCACCATCAGGCACGCAGGGGAAGTCCCGGCGGGACGAGAGTCTCGCGGTGTAAATAACGCGTTACTTATTTTGATGGGAGTCTACGATTTCCACGGGATAAGTGATGTAACGGCTATGCGCCACGTCCGCTGAATTTGCTCCTTTAATATGCGCAACGCACGTTCGTACTTATACAGCTCTTCATATACGGGGTGTCACGCTAACTTAGTCCAACTCAAATGTCTCCATTATTTAGCTTCGAAGGTGTTTCGTAGCGAGAGTAATATTAGGAAGCGAGAAATATTTTAATGAAATTCGAGGGAATTCTACAGCGTCGACATAATTGCGTTTTGAAAAAAGAAAAAAATTGAAAAAATTGAAAAAAATTGGAAAAGGAGAAAAAATTGTGGAATGAGAAGACGCTTATGTCTTTTTTTAATCAAATTTAAGGTTCGTTGGAAATATAGATCTAAATTATAAAATTCGACAGGAACTTAGGGGATGGATTATCTGAGGAATAAATCTACCTTACAAGAGAATATCCTGAAGTGATAATCTCCGATTTTGATCAAACTTTGGTATACGATAGTATTCGAAAGAATATTCGACACGTATTTTTTTTTTTTTTATCGACGATCCTCCATATTGAGGGAATAAAAATCGTCCTCAAAGATGAAGATAAGAAAAATTTGGTCAAAATTATATATTGTATGTTATTTTTCAAATTGTTGAAAGATACAAAAGAATCATTTCGCAGATAAATCACACAACGAAGTTGAAAGTGTTTTTAACGAAGCAAGTGTAGTGATTAAAATTTATATTCTTCAAACACCTGAAAGTTTCGATGGAATATTTCACGGTAACCTTGTCGAGTCTTTGTGAAATTCGATCTAACAACTACAAGTTTCTAATGAGTTTATTAGTTACATCATGCAAGCATTATTTGAAGTTTCAAACCTTGGATACTCCTTTCACGTCACTTTACGTATCGCCTTTCATACTTGTTCCAAGCTAGATTACCACGATTTAACCTGCGAAGCAGCCCGTTTGTTTCAGTTACAGATGACTCACTAGGATTGATCCTACGTGCTATAATTTATCTCGTCATATTTCTTCGTAATCTTTGAATTCTTCCTAGACTACTATTCTTCTCGAACTCTTCTACGAGTAAATTTACCTAACATTCTTACTTTTTAAAAATTCCACAAGAAAGCCGAAAGTTACATTCGCATCCTCAGAAAAAATGGAAATTCTTCGTTCGGTAATAACCTACGAAAAAAATTCGCAAACTTTTCCCTCAAGACGGTGTACCACCTTAAGAAAAAAAAAAACTAAATTTCTAGCTCCTTTCCTCGTTCCTTATTTCTAGGTTATGAACTCCTACGATTAAATTCACCTAACATTCTTACTTTTTAAAAATTCCACAAGAAAGCTGAAAGTTACATTCGCATCCTCAGAAAAGATTGAAACTCTTCGTTCGGTAATTACCTACGAAAAAAATTCCCAAACTTTTCCCTCAAGACGGTGTAC